CTGCAGAATTTCTAATGGTCTATCCCTGAAAGATCATTTAGTATCCATACCTCTTTCATCCAAATATTGATACCTGTGTTACATGTATATTCTATTTATGGCTTACATGTAAGCTCTGTTGTTTATCTTACGAATTTCCTTTGATAATGCTATTTCAGTTGACATCCCTTTCCTTTCTGTTCACTCCAGGATGTTGCAAAGTAAATGAATTACAATATGGATGAGAGAGGTCCCAATCGCATTGCAGATTACTGTGTTTTGGCTGGACTCAAAGATACTTCCAGCTTGTTGGAATATGACCTACAAAATGAGAGCGGTTTAAAAGTGTCCAAGCCCAAAGACCCTGTAGTGGATATTGCAGTTGTTATCAAAAGTCAAGGCGAACGAGTAAGAGAATTCTGTCTATAATTATTACTGTTTAGATAAATGATTTACAGTTTCTGAATATCTAATGTACGTATTTGTTTTGTGTTGTGTTCAAATTTGCAGCCAGAAATGTGTCTGTTATTTGAGTGATTTTTCTAGCTCTGTAAGATTGCATAAAATAAAAAAAATTGGCTACTTCAAATTTTTAATTGATTTAGTGACACATAAACAATGTTTCGGCTGAGTGCAGGCTAGCTTCATTTCTCCAATTATGGCGCTTAAAAAAGATTTTTCAAGGTCAGTGCTCCAATACATTCCAGGATTGGCTGCTAAACCAAACGATTTTATCATTTTTCATAGTGATCTCAATAATCTGTCATCGGTAGATGTATTCTGCTAATAATAAAACAATGGAAAACCAAATTTAATGAAAAGTTTCTCTGCCTTAGAAACCCTAGTGAAATTAACAATGCCACAAGTAGCCAATATTGATTCATACAATTGTTTTGCTGTTATAGGTTCCACAAGGTTTTGAATGTGTGGAGACAACCCCAACAGGGTTTTCTGCTGACTTGAATCATGGTAGTCTACGCAGTCCAGCCGTCTATCTTTGTTTTCGTCGTGGCACAGACAAACCACCTCTTACTGATATTGGGTAATGTAGTACATGTATTTTTTTTACTGGTTAACAAAAAAAAGTATTAAATGTATTTGCAATGATGTATGCAATTGCCTACATATATTGATAGATGAGTTCCGAGTTATAGCATCTTAAGTTGGTTTCTACGTGAGAATCGGGGTTGATGTGCAATTTTGTCATGGCCCCTAATTAGCTATTTTTCTCGGAACATTTTGACACCAGAGCATGGAAGTTACTATGGTAACTGTGGAACTTGTTCATAGATACTGTGCGTTTTTGAGCTGCTTTCGCTGAAGATGCTCGGCAAGTGGTTTGTGGCAAGAGATTCATGACTACAATCTTGCATGTGTCAATCATTTACAATAAGTTTTATCTATGTGAAGCATTCATGTGTATCCGTTTGGTCAAATGAGTCATGGTGAATAATTATTTTTTAATCAATTCTTAAAGCAGCATGAGCAATGCTGAGATAGAAATGTTTTTTTAGTAAACATCAAATAATATTGAATTCACTTTCCTAGGTGTTAATTATGCTGTCAGTAATGATTGTACTTAAATTAATTACAGTGGTGTTTTTTATGGTAACAATAAGCAATACTTTGACAAATGTGATTTTTGGTTTATATATGCCATTATTGAAGATGCACTTCTAATAGAGCAAATACATTATATTTTTTTTTCTTTTATGCAAATTTAACCTTTTTACCACCAGACCTCTCAACCAAATTTTTAAGCATTTTTTTTCTCCCTCATATCCTTCAATATTTCTTAAAATGAATCCTAATTTAAGAGCCAGAAGATAAAATTAGTCAATTTTCAGTTTTTGTCTCAATCTTCTAAAGGAAATTGCTGACTGTAAACAGGACTACAAAAAATGTATTTTGTGAATTTGAGATGAAAAGAGGGAACTGGTGGTTAAAAGGTTAAAGTGGGTAACGCAATTCATAACTGATCAATTTCATTGATTTGTTTTTGCAGTATTTTATACGAAGGTAAAGAGCGAGTGATGCCAGGTTGTGAGATCGTGAGCACAACGCCATGTGGTCGCCCCGCTAATGTCAACAATAGAACAGGGATGGGCAACCAACGAATTTATATAACATACAGAAGATCATCAGAGACGGCTGCTCATAACTCTCTAGCAGTTACTGATATCTGTGTTATACTTACTAATAAGGTAGGTGTCTACTTTTGTAGGTTGTGTCAGTCTTGATAAGAACTTGACTGTCCCATTAGTCCCTAACACATTTTGGGTTCTGTCAGAATTTCTCAATTTGCCTGGACCAATTTTGGTACAAAGACAAGTCATAATCAGATACATATGCACATTGATTTGTTTAATTGGTTGACCTTCGACTGACTAAAGGCTATTTTTATCTCAAAAAGCACCAAAAAACGATGTTTAAATATGTCATCAACTGTTATTCAGGCATGCCTTTGTTGATTTTGTTCACATTTTGTATAAACATCACTCATGGTAGCTTATTACCGCACATAATTTAGTTCTGCAATTTGATTTGAAAATGACCGATAGGTGGCCATTTTTTTAAAAACAAGTGTTCTGCTTATTTTAAACCTCAATAATTCTGCCCTTGGCATTTTGTGAAGGCCTTTAAAAATTTCAAAGCAAAGTAAATCTACACCCTGTGTATCTAAACAAACATTGCCCATCATAGAATGTGAGACGTGAATTAGATGACCTAATTCTGCCATACAGTGATTTACGCAAGTAATTTACCAGCAAGGACAGACATTATTGCTTGTCTACTCCTTCATTTTCACTTGCTAGATTAAATATGGGGAAGTTTGAGATGCTGTCAGATTACTCTGTTCTACAGTGTTATGGAATCTCCAAACAAATTAAGTTGTAGTTTTGGCAACTGACTTGTATTTTTCAATAACTCATGCTATGTTCAGGTGTGAATGAAGTAAATTCAAACCGATGAAAGTGCCTGGTTATAACGGCCTTGTAAGCATGTTGGTTTCTCAGCAAGGTAATTATGTTGTCTTGCGATGCCAAAATTGTGTGGCTTCTGGTCAACGCATGACCAAGCACACAACAAAACTTCAATGCATTCGGGGTGACTCGCAATGTACAAATGAGTGTTACAAGGGAGTATTATAGACCAGTTTATACAGATGAAAGGGTCACATTCAATTAAATTAATTATGCACAAAAATATGCATAGTAAATTTGACCAAACATTAAACAAACAAAATGATAACCATCCTGGGTAACGGACAGTGTAATAGGTATAAATAAAAAATAATGGTTGTTGAATTATGAAGAATTCTCTTACAACGATAAAATTTGTTACAGCAATAAGATTTCTGGTGCTGTTCGTGTATACCGGTGCATGCGATGTCACGTTACCAGGCATCCGTCACATAGGCGAAGACTGGTGGTGACGCAGTTAGCATGGTTGGCTCCTGACGTAATGGTACACCCTCATTGCCTTCACACCCTCCCCGGAGTTTTGTCCACCACAACATGTCAAGTAATACCATGCAACGATTCATATTCATACACCACACCTGCTCATAATGTGCACCAAGCGTTGTCCCACAGACAGACAGAATTGCAGTTCTATCAGATCTTGCCGCACACATCTGTCATAGAGAAAATACAGTACCTATTTAGATTCTTCTAGAAGCTCCATTCCACAGGGGTTATACATTTATATCTAAGTCCTTATTGATGTTTGTTTTCAGAATGAGATGCCGCCACACGCATTCTGTATGATAGATAAGAATTTGAACAAAGGCATGACAGGTTCTGATGTCTACTTGTGTTATAAGAAATCCATGACACGCGCCAACGCAATATATTACAAAGCAGGTAACACCATGATACTTAACACTTAGGCCAGACTTTTATTATTCCTTGTTTTGCGAACCCGCCGAATGAACAGGAGCCGAAAATGAAATAAAAATAAAATTTTATTTCAGCGTAATTTCTCGCGCCCGCCGACTTATAAGTGCAAAAAATTGCTAAAACAAATTATTTTTATCTTCATTTTTTTACTGCCCGCCGCCTCATGCCAAATCCAAGTTGCATTTTTGTGGGAGTATCATGATCAAAGTACCGAAGTTTCGTGCAGATGAGAAACCAGGTTATACATGGAATAAAATTTTATTTCATTTCTTCTCTCCGATCAATGATCTCACTTACAATTCTTTGAGAATCACACAAATCTAATGAAAAAAAGAAGTAATTTTATTTTTTTTCCCGCCCTCCCCAGAAAAATTGCCTTATAAAAACTCAAGAAACAAGGAATAAAAAAAGTCTAGGATGTCATAACTTTTTATAGACTGCAAAATCAACATTTTTGGAAAATTATGGAAAAAGTTGTTTTGTGAAAGGTGACAAAAATCAATTTAGTGTTTGAATGGTTTAAATCTTCGAGCAGCAAAGTCAAATTTCATCACTATTCATAAAAAATTTTGATATAATTTTTAAATTTTTTTCTCAAAATTGTTTTCTACTAAAAAATTATGTATATTTGTTCTAAAATAGACAAAATATTGCATTAACATTATGGTTGAATATTTTTGAGTTCAAAACTTTGATCATAACTCACTGACCCTTTAGCTATGTTGCCTTTAAAATAATCAGAATTAAAATAACATGATTCTTATTTCAATACCGATTCTTATTTCAATACCGTAGCTCATTTCATTTCATTTCATTTCATTTCATTTCCTGTGTTGTTATTACCAGTAAACCAAAAGTAATTATGTACCAGTGATAAATCACTTATAATGACAGTGTGTGTTTTTCAAGAACCTATTTCTTGTGGTCATTTATTTTCAGGCATTTTAAGTCGATATCCAGAGGAAGATAACCAAAACTTCTCATTGCCAGAAGAGGTTCCATTGTTTTGTCTGCCTATGGGAGCCACTATAGAGTGCTGGAAAGCTAAAAGAATGCGTCCACTGCCAGTCTTTTCTACATTTGTTCTCACAGATGCTAAAGGAGTTAAGGTACAAGCCTACTCATAATTTCTGAGAAAGTTTGTCATAAATCGCATGACAGTGTTCATTGGTTTATTATGTAAAACCATGAAGCTATTGTCCCATGACACTATGAAATAGCATTCTTTTGTGTGTTACAGTGACGTATTTTGAGAAACTTTTGCAAAAATCACCATTTTTAGAACAACTCCATAGAGCACAATGTTAAAGAAAAATTTGTTCATTGCAAATATTCTGCAATTTTTCTGGGTACCAGATCATTTGCACGACCTGATGTGTGGCTGTAGGTTTGATTCCCATGGTTGGCTGTACACTTGGCATCGGAAATGAAAAAGTACATTCTGATGATGTCCCAGACTAGCAGCATTGTATTTAAGAGAATGCCATCCTTTCTAATGGGATGTAAACTGTCAGTCCTGTGAACTGTTTCTATCCTCAGTGCATGTAAAAGTTGTTTTTATCTCAAGGAGTAGAGGTTTGTGCGGGACAGCTGACGTATTCGTCTCATTACATGTGTATGTTTGAGTTGTGCTCTCCCTCATTTCCGTGTCTGTAATTGGGCTGTGAGTCTGCCAGCAGGAAAGGACTGTATGAGTGGGTAATATGCATTAAATATAATATAAAAATTATAAATCAAAATAAAATCCATGGACCAGCCATGCGCATATGTAAATCACAATGTCATCTTTAACAAAATTACAGGGTTGAGGATAGTTTGTAGAACGATATATTCTAGCTTTTATGCTTGATGTTATAGTATTTGTATTCATTATTTTTTGTAATTGTGTTCATTGTTACCATGGTGATTATCTTCATTGTTTATTGCACACTTTTTGGACTCACTACTTAACATGCGTATAATACTCTGGAGAGAAGCTTGAATCAAAGCGACAGACATGTCGTAATAAATAAATCATTGCCCTGTTTTTTTATATCTGTCTGTAGGTATATGGTGCTGCAGTTACTTTTTATGAAGCGTATTCTGAAGATTTACTGACTGATGAGCAACGACAGAAGCTGGGCATGCAACCGAAGGGCAAAGAAGATCCCTACAAACTGTTACGAACCCTCCATACCAATAAATGTATTTGTTTGTTATCGCAGTGGCCATTCTTTGAGGCATTTAAAAAATTCTTATCCTATTTATATAGGTTATCAGTATCTGGACCCCATTTGGTACCAATTGAAAGGTAGGTCATGAATGATTATGCATATTAGCAACAAAAACAAAAATCAAATACGAACTTTGGAGGGTGATACTCACACTACTGAAACATTTTTTATTTTCTGTCCTGATTCATGTATTTGATTAACCATTTGAGTGCCAGATATTTTTCCCAACCAAAATTAAGTGCAAATATTTTCACATTTTGGGAAATTTTCACTAAATTTCATTGTAATGTTGGGCCATATAAACAGTTTCAGATATTGCTTTTAGTTTTTGATCAAATCGTTTGTCAATTTCGATCAACAGACTACAAGACTATTTTGTAGATGGTGCCAAAAGTTGACAATGGCATTCAAGTCTATTAACTCTAATATCCGAAATGAGTTGAATTTGGAGGTGCTATCTAATGAAGGGTTTGGCAAACAATGTTAAACCATCAAATAAAAAAAAATGAAGTGTTATATAATTATTTTTTTTCCCCGCTGCTTTCAGGCATATTTCACATTTTATGTATGAAATACCATTTCCAACACAAGAAAGACCCAGAATAATGTTACCAGTAAGTTACATTTTGATCTAATTAATATTCTTGTCATTATTCGATCTAGTTCAACAAACCACAGTCAAGTTTAATTAGTTAACATGTCAAGCCTCATTTGCATATTTTAGTTCCAAGGAATAATTAGTACTAAGCTGATACATCTGTCTAAAGCGTGAACGTATACAGACGCAACGTAATCACTTTACAAAGTTATGCCAGGATGCCGAGAAGTCTGACTTCTTAGATGATTTTCTTTTATGATCTTCTTTTTCAGCTTGCACATGATGCACTCTATTTGACCCAGCCGCAAACCTCTCCATTACCGCTCAGTGGCGCATCGTTTACAGCTCTTCTAAGGAACTTGGGTCCTGAAAACTGTCTGACTTTATTAGTATTTGCTGTCACTGAACAAAAAATATTGTTGCACTCACTTCGTCCAGCAGTATTGACAAGTGTTGCCGAAGCTGTTTCTACAGTAAGTTTTTTTCTTCGCTGAATCAATCTGTAAAACGACTTGTATTAGTTTGTGAAATTTTCCACTAAACGTCACTGCTGCGTACAATAAGCACCATGGCCATGTTGTAAAATTTGATATTACATTGTTTGTAAATACAACATGAAATGATGTCACTCTTTTTCTGATGCTGGTAGACCACTATCACATTATCAGGCATAAAATCATATGGTATCACTGTAAACAGCTTAATTTTCACTGCTTGTCAGATTTGATAATTTTATTGTATTTTTGAAGACAAAATTTTGCGAAAGTCACTAACGCTTAATTGTCGTATAACCCAAGAAACTTTTCACTTTTTATGATTTTCAAATTTGTTAAAACTTTTCTCCCAGTTTTTAAATGCAGCACTGCCATTTTGAATGAGGTCCTTATTTGTTCTCGTAGTGTCAGAGAAACTAATAAGATTTTTCTCTTCTTCATTAGATGATATTTCCTTTTACATGGCAATGTCCACACATACCACTGTGTCCGCTTGGCCTGTCTGATGTCCTCAGTGCACCATTACCGTTCATTGTGGGCATGGATTCCCGGTACTTTGATATGTATGAGCCACCTGCAGATGTTGTATGTGTAGATCTAGATACAAATACAATATCACAGTAAGTATTACTATTTAATGGGCAAGGGTAAGGGTGATCAATCCAACTAAGTATGTTTTTTTAGTTTTAAGTTTCGTTGTATATAGTGAGGAGTAGCCAGGTAGTCTTGACTCATCTTTTTCAGACTAGACCTATATAGGTCATACATCCTGGTTCTTGACTGTAAAGGTCGTACATCCTGGTACTTAAACATAAAAATCATGGCACTTCATCTTAAGTTATTAGCAGATATATCTTTACATTCAAATACCACCTGTTAGCAAAACAATCCATACATCAACTGTAGCAACCATGTGAAGAACTTTAGTGTCATTATGGCCTGAAAATTGTTATATATATATATATATATGAAACCATTCAGTTGATCAAAGAGAAGGTACCCTTCATTCCAGTATCTATATCAAGGTTATGAAACAACCATTATCTCACATGACTTCTACTTGTACTTCTGTGCTCATAAACCATGGGTATCATTTCATTGTTATTAACTTTTATTCATGATTTATTCTTCTTCTCAACTGGCCTAAAATATCTTCTGATGAGTTAATGGGAGACAGGTAACATTCCACTACTATTTATATATCTCTTCTGTATACCTTTGTCATTATTTTCATTGACATCAACAACATATGTTATGCTAACACTCAGTGTCTCTCTCAAAGATGTTATTTTTTGGAATGCGTCACCAAGTTTATAATATTGACAAAAATTGTGTAGATGTCAACAAACAATTCACACATTCCCAAGATGTTGATTGTTACTTGATTTTTGTTATTATATCTGAAAATAAAAATCAATTGAATTTTGATGCAATTTACTCAGACTCTGCGACCGATAGTTTCTACATGGAATGTTTACTGTACAGTTCAAAGTTTTCTTGAGTTTAAACAAATGTTGACAAGTGTATTCTCTATTCCCCCCCCTTTCCTTATCGCTTCTATATTTAACAATAAGTAAATTCATGTACAATGTAATAAATATAAATTCTTGTAACTTTAATGCATGTTCTTGTTTAGGTTACCACTTCTTCTGTTTAATTATTATATACATATTAAATTTTTCATTTTTTCATTTGTGTATTTGTATGCTATAGTGTATAATTTTTGATATGCTTTTCTAAAAAGGGAAATATTGTTTTTTGTGTCTCTCCAGCCATGATGCATTAAGAATTGACCCTTGACCCTTAAAATTGCCTGATAGCTGAATGTTCTCATTTAAAAAAAAAACACTGTGTACTATAGATATATGCAAGTTTTATTCAGCCCTTATACAGGTCCAGTAGCAAATCTCAGTTGGATTTCATATCTGGCAAACGTTTTAAATTTTGTCAATGGAATGCTTTAACTGTCTTTTCTTCTATTATTGGATTGTAACTGTAGACTTGTGCCTAATTTTAGAGAAAGCTACAACGAAACGTACATTATCAGAAGTACCATAGCTATGGAAACGTCCATTTATTAACTTCCCATCATGCCTCAACTGACTACTTAGTACCGGTAATCCAATTGGCATCCTTCACTGTATTTCCTGCATGGCTATCCAATAGCATATAGCACCCAGCATGCTATGCTGCTGAAAAAAACATTTGGAAAATTATGCCTTTTAAAAATATTGCATGGTCAGTTTAATGGTCAATTCCAGGTCAAGGGTTATCTGCAGCAGTTCGTCATGGCTGATGTACATGTACCTATGCAAGCATTTATTTTTTAATGCCTCCTCCTCCTCCCCTAATACATATTTATAAATTTAGAAAAAATAGGATCATAGTTCCAAATTTTTGTACATTCTAGAAATGATGAGAGGAAGTTCATGAGCTCAAAGATGTTACCTAAGGTAAGATGATGGTTACATACTTGTACCGTAAACCTCATCCCTATTAGAAGTCGTACTCATTCTTTTCGAATAATTGAGAATCAAAAATTCATCATTTCTCATATGTGCTCTAATAGAAGCTGTATCCCCTCTGTTGCCATTTTAATAGAAGCTGGGGCTTCTAATACTGATGTTACAGATTCTGTCGTAAATCCTTCTGATAATTTTAAATGAATATTGTACATTTATATTGTTTTAATTTTTGACTCCCATGTGCGAAGCACAAAATGGGAGTCTTTGCAGTTAGTGTGTCTGTATGTGTGTATGTGTGTATGTGTGTGTGTATGTGTGTATGTGTGTATGTGTGTATGTGTGTGTGTATGTGTGTCCGACTGTTCCACTGCTATCTCAAGAACCATACATCGGTTTTTGATGAAACTTGGTGCATAGATGCTCTGGGCCAATGCGCAGATTTGATTAGGTTTTGGTAAAAATCCATGCTCGTTAATTACCTAATTTGCATGATAATTAGCTAATTTTT